CTGCGCAAGGGGAAGACCGTGGTGTAACGCGAGTAGTCGTCAACCACCAGCAGGAAGTAGCGCTCCTGACCCTGTCCACGGACGCGGGCTGGGCCCCACACATCCATGTGAAGCGTCTGCAACGGGGCCTCTGTCGGAGGAAACTGGGAGGAGTGAGGGGCAGCACGCTGGCGCCCCTCGACACAGGGGACACAGGTGGGGCCAGGGCCCGGAGGAAGGGGAGGGAGAGACCGGGGAAGACCAGACACAAGGACTCGCGAGGCCATGCCCCTGAGCCGAAGCAGAGAGGGGTGGCCAAGGCGGTGGTGCCAGAGGAGGGTCTCGTGAGACAGACGACGGCACGAGCAGGGGGCAGACTCAGGACCAGACCTGGACGCTGCAGCAAACACCTGACCAGACGAAGTGACCCTACTAGACTCAGCACCTGGAGGAGAAGCAGTGGTCAGAGTGTACAGGCTCGACCCCGGCCGACGTGTAAACGTAGCCAGGTGGCGACCTGTATCCGCCTCCGTGCAGTGGGTCACCCGCTGACGAGCAGGGGTGAACTGGTGGACACCCGCATCCTGGAGGTCAGCACCACTCACCAAGTTCGTCGAGAACGAGGGGAGGTAAAGACCAGTCAGGGTGCCAGAGGGGGCCGCCGGACACGGGAGGACAGTGGAGAAGCGAGACAGGACAGGCCCCCCAGAGGGGTCAGCCAGGGACACCGCAACCGGCCGACTCAGCGGCGTGAGAGTGGTGCGGTCCCGAAAGAAGGAGCGAGACGCTCCAGAGTCAAGGGTGAAGGTGTGAGAGGCCGAAGCCGACACAGTACCTGAGAGGGCAGACTCACCAGCACCTGAGAGCACAGACGCACTGGCACCTAGAGCAGCAGCCTCACTAGTACCTGACGCGGCAGTACCAATGCCCGGGTCGGGCGGGAAACACCGGTAACAGTCATCCTCATCACTACCAATCGCAGCATACATAGCAGAGAGAATAGCATCAAAATCAAGATCATAAATAGCTACACCAGCTCTAGACAGCTCTCCCCAGCGGGGGATCTCAGCTGCCTCCGGAAACTGCTGACGCCAGGCGTCAGTCAGGCGGCCAAAGCAGCGGCGGGCAGTGTGGGCGCCTCCACACCTCTCCCCTGCACGGTCACCGGTGCGGAGAACGTAGGGGCAAGGACCAAGCGCACCACCACGCTGACGCTGCGAGTACCACTCACGGAGCTGCTGAGGGGCGGGGACGGTGCGAGAGCGCTGCTGCTGCTGTGGCTGCTGCTGCGGCTGCTGCTGCTGCTGCTGCTGGCGCTGACCACCCCCGGAGCTGCTCCGCTGGGACGAGCCACTCCGACCCCCGCCTGCACTGCCACCCCCGCCTCCACCGCCACCCCCGTCTCCATCTCCACCTCCCCCACCAGGACCGTCGCTCCCACCGCTCCCACCGCCTCCTCCGCTACCACCTCCACCGCCACCTCCGCCTCCACCGCCGCCACCAGTACCTCCACTCCCGCCACCACCCCCACCGCCACCCCCACTCCCCCCGCCACCCCCACCGCCTCCTCCACCGCCCCCTCTAGCTCCACCCGCTCCCTTGCCCCCCTTGCCCTTGCCAGCGCGGCGTCTGCCGCTGGGGGCAGACGCCGCGCCGACCGACTCAAAACCAGTGAGGTCGGCCGCAGCGGCAGAGGCGACAGAGGGCAGCAGGGGGGAAGGACCACACCCCTCAAAGATGGGGGTGCGAGGGTCACCCCGAGAGGCCCCTACAGCGACAATACTCTTCTCAGCCGCTAGCAGGGACTCCTCAAGGAGGTCGACAGTGAGAGTGGTGGGACAGACAGAGAGAAACTGGTCCCTAACGACACGAAGGGACTCAGGGAGACGGGTGACGAGAAAGTAGAGAGTGATGTACATGGGAGGAGGGTTCGCAGCGCGGAACTCAGCAGGAAGGGCAGCGCGGTAGCGGGTGTCACTAGCACGGAGGTGGGTAACGAGGTCAGCGACAGTGGGAAAGGAAGCGAGGTCAGGGAAGAGAAACGGTAGCATGAGGCGGCTAAGGGTAGCGGAGGAAGGGGAGGAGTAGCGTGCAACTACAGCGTCGTACAAGGCCTGAGCGGTCTTGCACTGACTAAAGTGGGCACGCTCAGAGGAAGGGAGGTGGCGACGCACAGCAAGACGTGCAGCAGCATCGCGGGTCGCCCACTTGGAGCGAACGGCAGAGTCAGCATCAGCAGGTGGGGCAGGGACAGCGCCAGAGACAAAGTCAAAGAGAGAGACCTCATCTATCGCATCACACAGTAAGTACAGCTGCAGGTCTTCAATCCAGACGGCAAAGTCAATGGCCCTCCCCTCAGCGTCAAAGGTAAGAACATTGGGGGTGGCCATGACAGCAGCTGAAAATCTCACCGGGCTGGGAGAGGCGGGTAGGTCAGCAGCAGAGGAACAGCAGCACGGCTCCGCAGGCGGCTCGGGCGGCGCGGGCGGCTCGGGCGGCACGGGCGGCTCGGCGGCGGCTCGGGCGGCGGCTCGGCGGCGGCTCGGCGGCGGCTCGGCGGCGGCTCGGCGGCGGCTCAGGCGGCGGCGGCTCGGCGGCGGCTCGGCTGCTGCTGGGCGGCGCGGGCGGCTCGGGCGTCACGGGCGGCTCGGCGGCGGCTCGGGCGGCTCGGCGGCGGCTCGGGCGGCGGCTCGGCGGCGGCTCGGCGGCGGCTCGGCGGCGGCTCGGCGACGGCTCGGCGGCGGCTCGGCGGCGGCTCAGGCGGCGGCGGCTGCTGCTGGGCGGATCGGCGGGGCCGCGTAGCAGAGTGGCGGCGGGGCCGCGACCGAAGAGAGCGGCGGGGCCGCGTAGCAGAGGGCGGAGGGGCCGCGTAGCAGAGGGCGGCGGGGCCGCGTAGCAGAGGGCGGCGGGGCCGCGACCGAAGAGAGCGGCGGGGCCGCGTAGCAGGGGGCGGCGGGGCCGCGTAGCAGAGGGCGGCGGGGCCGCGTAGCAGAGGGCGGCGGGGCCGCGATCGAAGGGCGGCGGGGCCGCGTAGCAGAGGGCGGCGGGGCCGCGTAGCAGAGGGCGGCGGGGCCGCGTAGCAGAGGGCGGCGGGGCCGCGTAGCAGAGGGCGGCGGGGCCGCGAGGCAGAGGGCGGCAGGGCCGCGTAGCCGAGGGCGGCGGGGCCGCGATCGAAGGGCGGCGGCGGGGCCGCGTAGCAGAGGGCGGCGGGGCCGCGATCGAAGGGCGGCGGGGCCGCTAGGGAAGGGCGGCGGAGCCGCGAGGGGAAGGGCGGCGCAACGGTCCGCTAGGGGCGACACGACGGGTCGCAAAAAAAAAAAAACGCGCCTCGGGGCGCGGTTCGGTGGGCCCTAGAAGCAGTCCCTAGGAGGGAACCTGCTCTGATTCCATGTGGAAACAAAGAACGAGAATGAAATGACTATGAACGAAGTGAGTACAAATAGGAAACCCTAATTGGGTTGTACCCCCTATGGGATACCCCACTGTAGCCTACAGAAACAAGTAAGCTATAAGTTCTGACATATCTCCTCTTCTCTACTAATTGCACTTGACACACCAAATGAATTCACGACGATCGACGCGCCCATTCGCCAATTTCTGGTACCAGTTCTATGTCAGCAATAGTCTACTTGCTATCGCCAGAGGAGCTTCAGAGCTGGAGCTGTTGACCGACGTACAGCACCACGTGGGCTTGTGTCCTACGTGTCAAGTGATGAAGAGCTCGAGAAAAAGAAAGGCGGGTCAGCTGCAGCCGATTCCACCGCCCGAGCGCGCCTGGTAGCAGGTTACCATGGATTTCGTCACGGAGTAATGACATGGTAATGGTCGTCGTTGACAGACTGGCAAAAATGACTCACTTCACTGCGTGTAGGAAATCGATCTCAACCGAGGAAAACGCTCGCCTATTCATCTCAACCGTCATTTGACTACATGGGATACGAGCCGCGATAATCAGCGACCACGACACGAAGTTTACCTTCGACTTCTGGAAAAACATTTGGGAGCAGTTCATGACCAAGCTACAGTTCAACTTGTCATACCACTACGAGACCGACGGTCAAATGGAGCGGACGAATCGAACCATGGAGCAGCTGATTCGTGCCACGTGCAACGACCCGACAACATGGGAGCAGCAACTGCCGCTGATCGAGTTCGCCTACAACAACGCCACGTCAGCGACGACGTAGCAGTCCCTAATTTACCCGAACAAAGGGCAAAATTCAATAGTGCCCATGACGCCGAGTCCGGACAACCCAACGTCACGCGCACAACAATTTGCAAAAAAATTGCAAGTTGCTCGCACTAGAGCGGCAGAACCGGTTAGAAAAGCAAATGTCATCGCTAAGAGAAATGCTGACGGCCACCGCCTCCCAGTCACATACCAGTCAGGAGACCACATACTGCTGGACACACAGAACTTAAGACTGCCCGTCGTACTGAAACTTTGACCACGATACTGTGGACCGTTCCAAATGAGCCACATGATCACCCCAGTTACCGCCCATTTACTGTTGCCGACAGATTGGTACATCAGCTCATCATTCCACGTCAGCCTGTTTCATGCAACGGGCCCGCGGACAGTTGTTTGCATTTAGCAACAAAGTTGGCCCTGAATCCCCATTTGCTCAAACGGCGCCTCGGTTTCCCTCTTTCGGCGTCTTGTCCTCCACTATCCCTCGTGTCGGCGCTAACTTCTGCAATTCACGGTCGACCTTGTTGCGGTTGCGATCAATTCTGATGAAAGAGGATTGCAGTTTCACCAGTGGGATAAATTGTCGAAGAGACAACCGTCACCATTCAGGCCTTCAGTAGCGCATCAGTTACCCTTTGCCAAGAAGGAGCAGGAAAGAGACGAGCAGAACAGATTAATAGTTGCTCTAAAGGGCACATGAAAGGAGACGTGGCTTCATGCCGAAGCGACCTTGGCGACGGCGATGGTGAGTCGACCCAGTGTAACCGTGTCAACATCATGTGCCCTTTTACCCCCTTATCCCCTCCATCATGCTCGCTCTTGATTGTTCATGTTGCGCTTTCACCCGCGATTCGCCTTCGTCGCTCCATGCAATATCATGTCACAACCCCGCCCTCCTCGTCACCCCCTTTCCTTCCCCCTCTCCCCAAACCCCCCCTCTTCTCCTTTCCTCCTCCCCATCACCTTCCCTCTTAGCATGCCGGTGTGCATCTGCAATGGCGCGACATATGCGTGACGGCCTGGGTCAGGAGCCAAGTCTCGCTGACGCAGCAGCAACAGCAACAGCCGAAGTGTTGGTAGGGTGGGTGCTGACATGGGTTGCAGCAGGGACAAGAGTGGAGCCGACGAGAGGCCGGCGGCGCGCAGGTGGGGGATAGATAGATTGGAAGAAAGGAGCAGACAAGAGCGAGTCGAGAGATGGAGCACTGGGGCAGAGGCACAAGCAGGCGGGACTGGATCAGTGTGAAGGGGCGTGTGAGCATGCTGCACCGAGGCTAGATGGCACATGGGGGAGGCGAGCTGCGACACATGGTTGGTGGAGGCGAGCTGCGACACATGGTTGGTGGAGGCGAGCTGCGACACATGGTTGGTGGAGGCGAGCTGCGACACATGGTTGGTGGAGGCGAGCTGCGACACATGGTTGGTGGAGGCGAGCTGCGACACATGGTTGGTGGAGGCGAGCTGCGACACATGGTTGGTGGAGGCGAGCTGCGACACATGGTTGGTGGAGGCGAGCTGCGACACATGGTTGGTGGAGGCGAGCTGCGACACATGGTTGGTGGAGGCGAGCTGCGACACATGGTTGGTGGAGGCGAGCTGCGACACATGGTTGGTGGAGGCGAGCTGCGACACATGGTTGGTGGAGGCGAGCTGCGACACATGGTTGGTGGAGGCGAGCTGCGACACATGGTTGGTGGAGGCGAGCTGCGACACATGGTTGGTGGAGGCGAGCTGCGACACATGGTTGGTGGAGGCGAGCTGCGACACATGGTTGGTGGAGGCGAGCTGCGACACATGGTTGGTGGAGGCGAGCTGCGACACATGGTTGGTGGAGGCGAGCTGCGACACATGGTTGGTGGAGGCGAGCTGCGACACATGGTTGGTGGAGGCGAGCTGCGACACATGGTTGGTGGAGGCGAGCTGCGACACATGGTTGGTGGAGGCGAGCTGCGACACATGGTTGGTGGAGGCGAGCTGCGACACATGGTTGGTGGAGGCGAGCTGCGACACATGGTTGGTGGAGGCGAGCTGCGACACATGGTTGGTGGAGGCGAGCTGCGACACATGGTTGGTGGAGGCGAGCTGCGACACATGGTTGGTGGAGGCGAGCTGCGACACATGGTTGGTGGAGGCGAGCTGCGACACATGGTTGGTGGAGGCGAGCTGCGACACATGGTTGTGGAGGCGAGCTGCGACACATGGTTGGTGGAGGCGAGCTGCGACACATGGTTGGTGGAGGCGAGCTGCGACACATGGTTGGTGGAGGCGAGCTGCGACACATGGTTGGTGGAGGCGAGCTGCGACACATGGTTGGTGGAGGCGAGCTGCGACACATGGTTGGTGGAGGCGAGCTGCGACACATGGTTGGTGGAGGCGAGCTGCGACACATGGTTGGTGGAGGCGAGATGCGACACATGGTTGGTGGAGGCGAGCTGCGACACATGGTTGGTGGAGGCGAGATGCGACACATGGTTGGTGGAGGCGAGATGCGACACATGGTAGTGTTGAGATAGTAGTGAGAGTTAGTGCGCCATAGCTAGGAGAACCCTAGCTAGGCAAGAAAGTTTAGGCAAAAGAGAGGGGGGTTCACTAGAAAGCAGCATGATACATATAGGGAACCCTAAGGGGTTGTACTCGCTATAGAGTACCCCACTGCAGGCTAGAGAACAATAACATTCTGACAGGTTGGTGGAGGCGAGCTGCGACACATGGTTGGTGGAGGCGAGCTGCGACACATGGCTGGTGGAGGCGAGCTGCGACACATGGCTGTTGGAGGCGAGCTGCGACACATGGCTGGTGGAGGCGAGCTGCGACACATGGGTGGTGGAGGCGAGCTGCGACACATGGCTGGTGGAAGCCAGCTGCGACACATGGGTGGTGGAGGCGAGCTGCGACACATGGCTGGTGGAGGCGAGCTGCGACACATGGGTGGTGGAGGCGAGCTGCGACACATGGTTGGTGGAGGCGAGCTGCGACACATGGTTGGTGGAGGCGAGCTGCGACACATGGTTGGTGGAGGCGAGCTGCGACACATGGTTGGTGGAGGCGAGCTGCGACACATGGTTGGTGGAGGCGAGCTGCGACACATGGTTGGTGGAGGCGAGCTGCGACACATGGTTGGTGGAGGCGACCTGCGACACATGGTTGGTGGAGGCGAGATGCGACACATGGTTGGTGGAGGCGAGATGCGACACATGGTTGGTGGAGATGCGACACATGGTTGGTGGAGGCGAGCTGCGACACATGGTTGGTGGAGGCGAGCTGCGACACATGGTTGGTGGAGGCGAGCTGCGACACATGGTTGGTGGAGGCGAGCTGCGACACATGGCTGGTGGAGGCGAGCTGCGACACATGGTTGGTGGAGGCGAGCTGCGACACATGGCTGGTGGAGGCGAGCTGCGACACATGGTTAGTGGAGGCGAGCTGCGACACATGGCTGGTGGAGGCGAGCTGCGACACATGGTTGGTGGAGGCGAGCTGCGACACATGGTTGGTGGAGGCGAGCTGCGACACATGGCTGGTGGAGGCGAGCTGCGACACATGGCTGGTGGAGGCGAGCTGCGACACATGGCTGTTGGAGGCGAGCTGGGACACATGGCTGGTGGAGGCGAGCTACGACACATGGCTGGTGGAGGCGAGCTGCGACACATGGCTGGTGGAGGCGAGCTGCGACACATGGCTGGTGGAGGCGAGCCGCGACAAATGGTTGGTGGAGGCGAGCTGCGACACATGGTTGGTGGAGGCGAGCCGCGACAAATGGCTGGTGGAGGCGAGCTGCGACACATGGTTGGTGGAGGCGAGCCGCGACACATGGTTGGTGGAGGCGAGCCGCGACACATGGTTGGTGGAGGCGAGCTGCGACACATGGTTGGTGGAGGCGAGCTGCGACACATGGTTGGTGGAGGCAAGCTGCGACACATGGTTGGTGGAGGCGAGCTGCGACACATGGTTGGTGGAGGCGAGCTGCGACACATGGTTGGTGGAGGCGAGTTGCGACACATGGTTGGTGGAGGCGAGCTGCGACACATGGTTGGTGGAGGCGAGATGCGACACATGGTTGGTGGAGGCGAGATGCGACACATGTTTGGTGGAGGCGAGCTGCGACACATGGTTGGTGGAGGCGAGCTGCGACACATGGTTGGTGGAGGCGAGCTGCGACACATGGTTGGTGGAGGCGAGATGCGACACATGTTTGGTGGAGGCGAGATGCGACACATGTTTGGTGGAGGCAAGCTGCGACACATGGTTGGTGGAGGCGAGCTGCGACACATGGTTGGTGGAGGCGAGCTGCGTGGTGGAAGGAAGGGACGAGAAGAGAACGGGCAGGTGGCACGTGGCTCTGCCTGCTGCCACCACCGCTGCCTCTGCTGCTACTGCCCATCCTGGTGCACTTTCGCTTGCAGTGTTGCAGCTGGAGGGAGCGCAGAAAGCCATGGGAAGGATGGATACTCCCCTCACATAACGGCACGAACGGAAGGAGCGCACTGGAAGTAATGGAAGGAGCGAGAAAGGGATGAGTGGAATGCTAGAGGAGGGACGAAGCTCCCCGATAGTGAAAGTGGTAGATTAATGGGGAAGGGGCCTCGAGGCTGGAACGACGGCTGTTCGACAAAGCCTTTGCGATGGCGATGGTGAGTTGACTCTATTAGCATAATCATCACGTCATCATGATGGCCCCACGTTTTCCACGTGCCATCGCATTGCAATGGTCCTCACATGAACCACCTCTGCTCCCACGTCCTCACATGAACCACCTCCGCTCCCACGTCCTCACATGAACCACCTTCGCTCCCACATCTTCACGTGAACCACCTCCCAGAATCTTTAAGTGTGCGCCCCCCCTCCCTGCATGCAACGCTTCCAGCTTCCCCGCCTCCCCGCCCTCCATGTAGAGGCTCAAAGGGTAACTCATCTCATCGGGCCTTGAACCACTCAGAGTAACTGGGTTTAGCCTTTTCATTAATGTCTGCTGACGTGTAACACGCCGCCTTGCCCCCTTGCCTGCGGACTGACAGATTCCACCTTGCTATCTTCCCGTGACATGTGCCACAAAATGCTTGGCAGCTGGTCGGGTTGCAGCCATCTGGTGCATCATGATTTGACTGCCCATCTATGCTGGCCCCAACCTTCCTCCCCCTCCCCGCTCTGTTCTACGCTTCGGCCTATCCATGTCGGTGTCGTGGCAGATGTACGGCAGATGTACGGCTGCCCTGCCGGGATCTGAAGGACCATCAATGCAGCTGTAGCGGCAACTAGATGCTGATGTGGCGTGCAACAGGACAGGGACATGGCTGGTGTGACCGGAGCTGATGAGGGACATAAGCTGATGGGACCGGAGTGGTGTGCAACAGCCAAATTACGTGCTACAGTAGGTAGGGCAGCAGCGAAGTCAAGCAGGGCATATACGAGGTGAGGCGGCAGCAGGATGGGCAGACATACATGAGGCGAGAGGGGGGGCAAGGACACAAGCAAGTGGGACTGGGGCATTGTGAGCTTAAGCATGTGAATACGATGCACCAAGGTCGCAAGGCACATGGAGAGGGGGTAAAGGGGGGGGAGATGGGGGGGAGGGTACGCATGATTGGCGAAGGCAGGCCATGTGGGGAAAGGGGGGGGTGGTGCTGCTTCAAGAAAATCCGTTGTGGCAGGGAGGGATGTGGCAGGGAAGGATGTGGCAGGGAGGGATGTGGCAGGGAAGGATGTGGCAGGCCGTCGGATCAATGTATGCTACCACCCTCATGTAACACCACAATGGAGTGCAGGATGTGGCAGGTAACTGTCAGAACATATAGCTTGTGCTTATTGTGCAGGCTATAGTGGGGTAGCCCATAAGGGGTACAACCCAATTAGGGTTAGTACTTGTACTCAGTTCATTCATAGTTCATTCATTCTCGTTTCTTCTCATGGTATCGAGCAGGTTCCCTCGTGGGAACTGATCCTAGGGCCCACCATCGAAAAGTTTTATTTTTCTGCCCGAAGCGCGCTCCGCTTAGGCACGAGTCGCGCCTCGGGTGCTCTCTCTGCCATCGCGGCCTCCCTCGAACCGCCCTTACTCGGCCCGTCGCTGCACTACGCGGCCCGTTGCCGCCCTTCCCTCGGCCCGTAGCCGCCCTTACGCGGCCCGTTGCCGCCCTTACGGCCCGTCGCCGCCCTAAGCGGCTCGTCGCCGCCCTTCCTCGGCCCGTCGCCGCCCTAAGCGGCCCGCCACCGCCCTTCTTCGGCCCGACGCCGCCCTACGGCCCTTCACCGCCCTTCGTCAGCCCGTTGCCGCCCTTACGGCCCGTCGCCGCCCTAAGCGGCTCGTTGCCGCCCTTCCGCGGCCCGTCGCCGCCCTAAGCGGCCCGCCGCCGCCCTTCTTCGGCCCGACGCCGCCCTACGGCCCGTCCGCTGCCCTTCGTCGGCCCGTCGCCGCCCTTACGCGGCTCGTCGCCACCCTAAGCGGCCCGTCGCCGCCCTACTCGGCCCGTCGCCGCCCTACGCGGCCCATCGCCGCCCTACGCGGCCCGTCGCCGCCCTCACTCGGCCCGTGGCTGCCCGACGCGGCCCGTCGCCACCCTTCCGCGGCCAGTCGCTGCCCCTACGCGGCCCGTTGCCGCCCTCCCCCCCCTTTTTTTCCAGCCCGTCGCCACCCTTAGCAGCTTGGCGCCGCCCTTCCTGGCCCTTCACGTTGCCGAGCCGCCCAGCAGCCGAGCCGCTGAGCCCCCGAGCCGCCGAGCCGCCGAGCCGCCCAGCAGCTGAGCCGCCGAGCCGCCGAGCAGCCCAGCCGCCGAGCCGCCCTACCACCGAGCCGCCCGAGCAGCCCCGTCCGGTGAGCACAGCGCCTCTGTCACTGCACTGCCCCTTCCATACAGTTTGCACTGCTAGACTACTGTCGTCATGGCTACCCCTAGTGTCCTCGCTTTTGACGCCGAGGGTCGAGCCATCGACTTTGACGATTGGGTAGATGACCTGCAGCTGTTCTTACAGTGCGATAGGGCAGACGGCCTCTCTCTCTTTGACCTCACCTCTGGCGCCTCTCTTGCCCCTGCTGCTGATGCTGACGCCACTGTTCGCTCCCAGTGGGCCACGCGCGACGCTGCTGCACGTCTTGCTGTGCGTCGCCACCTCCCTACCTCCGAGCGTGCGCACTTTAGTCATTACAAGAGTGCTCAAACCTTGTACGACGCTGTAGTTGCACGCTACTCCTCCCCTGCCACTGCTGCACTGAGCCGTCTCATGCTACCGTACCTCTTCCCTGACCTTGGTACCTTTCCCACACTCGGTGACCTCATTACGCACCTCTGCACTAGTGACACCCGCTACCTCGCTGCGCTTCCTGCTGACTTCTGCGCCAAGAACCCCCCCCCCCCATGTACATCACTCTCTACTACATAGTCACTCGCCTCCCTGACTCCCTTCGCGTAGTCAAGGACCACTTCCTTTCAGTCTGTCCCACCACACTCACGGTTGACCTCCTCGAGAAGGCCCTCCTAGCGGCGGAGAAGAGCATAGTCGCTGTAGGGGCCTCTCGTGGTGACCCGCGCACCCCCATCTTTGAGGGGTGTTCCCCCTCCCCCCTTCTGCCCTCTGTTGCCTCTGCTGCTGCAGCCGACCTCCTTGGTCTTGAGTCGGCCGGTGCCTTGTCTGCCCCTACCGGGAGACGCCGCTCTGGCAAGGGCAAGGGGGACAGGGGCGCTGGAGGGGCAAGCGGGGGCGGTGGAGGTGGAGGTGGAGGCGGCGGGGGGAGTGGGGGTGGCGGTGGGAGTGGAGGTGGGGGCGGAGGTGTCGATGGCGGCAGTGGAGGCGGAGGCAGCGGCGGCGGTGGCGATGGGAGCGGAGGTGGCGGAGGTGGCGGCAGTGGAGGAGGCGGCGGAGGCGGCGGTGGAGGCGGAGGCGGCGGAGGCGGCGGAGGCTGCGGGGGTGGCGGTGGAGCTAGTCGCGGGTCTACGCAGAGGAGTGGCTCCGGTGGTGGTCCGCGCCAGCAGCAGCAGCGAGGTCGTGAGACCCTGTCCCCTCAGCAGCTCCGTGAGTGGTACACTGCACGCCAGCGGGGTGGGGGTTTTGGTCCGTGCACCTACGTCCTGCGCACCGGCAACCGTGCGGGTGAGCAGTGTGGGGGTGCGCACCCCACCCAGCGCTGCTTTGGCCGCCTGACGGACGCGTGGCGTCACCAGTTCCCGGAGGCCGCAGAGATCCCTCGCTAGGGCGAGCTGTCTAGGGCGGGAGTTGCCATATATGATCTTGATTTTGATGCTATCCTTTCTGCCATGTATGCTGTGTCTATTAGTGATGAGGGTGACTGTTACCGGTGTTTCCCGCCCGATCCGGGCATTGAGACTGCTGCTCTAGGTACTGGTGCGGCTGCTGCCTTGGGTGCTTGCAACTCTGCTGCTCTAGGTGCTAGTGCGTCTGCTTCCTCAGGTACTGGTGAGTCTGCACTCTCAGGTACTGGTGAGTCTGCGCTCTCAGGTACTGCGTCGGCTTCGGCCTCCCTCACCTTCACCCTTGACTCTGGGGCTTCTCGCTCTTTCTTTCGGGACCGCACCGCACTCACGCCGCTTAGTCGGCCGGTTGCGGTGTCTCTGGCTGACCCCTCTGGGGGTCCTGTCCTGTCTCGCTTCTCCACAATCCTCCCGTGTCCGGCGGCTCCCTCTGGCACCCTGTCTGGTCTCTACCTACCCTCGTTGTCTACGAACTTGGTGAGTGGTGCTGACCTACAGGATGCGGGAGTACACCAGTTCACTCCTGCGCGTCAGCGGGTGACGCACTGCACAGAGGCTAGCACAGGCCGACACCTGGCTACGTTTACCCGTCAGCCAGGGTCGAGCCTGTACACACTGACCACTGCGTCTCCTCCCGTTGCTGAGTCTGGTAGGGTAGCTATGTTGGGTCAGGTGTTTGCTGCAGTGTCCAGGTCTGGTCCTGAGTCTGCCCCTTGTTCGTGTCGTCTCCTGTCTCACGAGACTCTCCTCTGGCACCACCGCCTTGGTCACCCCTCTCTGCTTCGGCTAAGAGGCATGGCCTCCCGTCTTTTTGTTTCTGGTCTCCCCCGGTCCCTCCCTTCCCCTTCCTCAGGGCCCTGGCCCTACCTGTGTCCCCTGTGTCGAGGGGCGCCCGCGGGCTGCCCCTCACTCCTCCCAGTTTCCTCCGACAGAGGCCCCGCTGCAGACGCTTCACATGGATGTGTGGGGCCCAGCCCGCGTCCGTGGACTGGGTCACGAGCGCTACTTCCTGCTGGTGGTTGACGACTACTCGCGTTACACCACAGTCTTCCCCTTGCGCAGCAAGGGTGATGTCACTGAAGTGCTGATCGATTGGATCCGTGCAGCTCGTCTCCAGCTCAGGCAGAGCTTTGGCTCGGACTTTCCTGTTCTGCGTCTGCACTCGGACAAAGGCGGAGAGTTTTCTTCTGGCCTTCTGAGAGCCTACTGTCGTGTACGAGGCATCTGTCAGACCTTCACGCTTCCGGACTCCCCGCAGCAAAATGGGATTGTTGAGCGCCGCATTGGCATGGT